GAGTCCCTGAGGCTTTGCAGCAGAAGGTGACATTCTGGCCTGCCTCTCGCACTCGGGACTCGGGGTGCTTCACCAGGTAGGGCTTTCCTGGGAGTCGGGGGATGGGGCACAAAGGTAGCCAAGGTCAAGACCCTACCCCAGGCTTTTTCAGTGGTCCTAGGAGTACAGCCATCACACCCATCCTTTCCCTTCTCCCAGAGATGACCTCCCCAACGACAGCCACCCCTTGACCTCAAGAGCTCAGTGTCACCTACAACGTCCTTCCCAGGCCCTCAGCCCCCTCCACTCTTTGCCGAAAGGGCCCTCACCTAACTTATCAAGGACAATGGTGACTGTGGAGGAGCTGGAGCTGTTGCCCTGGGCCTGGGCCACGCCTGTAGAGAAGCCATCCATCTGGGCACTGACGTTGGCCCTGCTGCCAGCACAGACTCCAGGCACCCGGAAGGTTCCACGGGCATCGCTGGTGGTCACGGTGCCAGGTCCAGCTCCGTCTCGCAGGGAGACCCTGGCCCCTAGCAGCGGTCGCCCAGATGGGGTGACCACCGAGCCCAGGAGGATGTGGTCAGGGCACCCTGGGAGGAGGGAGAAACACAGGGAGACCGCAGGAGCAGACAGGCCTCTACAGCCCCTGCTGGGGAGAGCTTTATGCTCAGTCAGTCACTCAACAAACACACCTGGAAATCCCTCCGCTCCGGTATTGTGCCCCTGGCAGGCAGCATGGCTGGCTTAAAGCAGCCCCTTGGTGTAGGCGGTGGGGGTGGCGCTCAGTGATCAGGACTGGGCCAGGGGGTTGGAAAATGGGGTGCAGAGAGGTAGGGAAGACACCCTGGAGGAGGTGAGCTTCCAAGAACACAGAGGCCCCTTCCAGCAGGAGAGAAAACATGGCGCCGGGCTGGGAGGCCTGCGAGGGGCTGTCTTGGCCCCACAACACCACTTCTCCCCTCCCAGCCCGCAGCTTCTCCATAACATGGAAAATTCCACTGGAAACTTCAGGGCAGTGGCGCCGCGAGGGCAGAGCCAGGCGGGGTGGGGTGGGGTGGGGACCCCACCATTGGCCACCGTGGGCCCCCACCCTGCGCTGGAGCTGTCTCCAGACCGTGTTTGTGGAGACCAGACCCGAGTGGAATTTCCAGTCGCCTCCTGGCTGGCCTAGTGTCTGGCCCTGAGAGGGCCGAGGCACCGTGTCTGCCAGGGTGTGAGCGCGTGTCTGCGTGGGCGTGGGGGCCAGCTGGGGGCTGTGAATGCCACGCGCCTGTGCGCCCGGAGCAGGACATGGACTTCTGTTTGCGCACGGGGACGTCTGTGCGCAGCAGGTCAGCGGCCCCGCGGGTCTGCCAGTGTCTGTGCGCACGAGCCCATGGCACCCACCCATCCAGATGTGCTAGGCTGGGCGCAGGAGGAAGGGCCGCCAAAGCTGGGGCCTGGACCGAGGCTCCCCCCTCCAAGCCCCCTCCTCTCTCCAGGCCCCACCTCCACCAGCCCTGCCCTGCAGGCGCCTCCCCCGAAGGCCGATCCTCGCGCTAGTGCGCCCACACCCTCCAGCCCCCGCGTCCTACCTGGGCACCGAGGCCTCACGCACTTCTGCGCCTCCAGGGAACGCCCAGGACACACGTCCCCAGCCGGACTGGGGCAGCTGCGGCGGCGCAAGCGACGGCTTGGCCCGCAGCTCTTTGAGCAGGGACCCCACGGACCCCACGCGCCCCACACAGCCTCTGCGGAGAGCAAGGAGACAGATCAGGGGGCTGCCTTTCCTCACGCACCAGGTGACAATGCGGGACTGAAGAGCTTCCCCTGTCCCCCTACCCCCAACATGCATCCCCCAGCGGACACTCCAGAGAGCAGCCCAGCCCACCGCCCGCATCCGGGCTCCCCCAGACGCCCACCTTGAAGGAGCAGTTCAGGTGCCAACCCATCCATCTCCCCCACGCAGGATGAGCGCCCACACGTTAGCGCTACAAATTTGGGGCTCCAGACGGAGCCCCACAGGACGGAGCTGTCACTGATGACCAAATGAGGGAGGTGCGCTCCTGGGGGTCGGCGCTGGGGCCTGACCTGCAGAGTTTCCCTACCTGCGCCCCAGCCCCTCCCCTCCCCTCCAAAGCCCCGCCCCGCCATGGCCGAGCCCGGCCCCTCACTGGGGGCCACTCCTGAAGGGCCCGCCCCTCCCGGCCACGCCTCCACCCATGCAGCCTCTGCTTAAGGGCACTCGTCAGGCCCCGCCCACCCAAGCCCCGCCCCGCCCCTCTCCCGGGCCCCGCCCTCACCGAGCGGGCAGCGGAAGCGCACGTGGTAGTTGGAGCAGCGGCGGCCGCGCGGCTGCTCGCGGTTGAGGCACCAGAAGCCGCGCGTGGGGTTCAAGTGCACGCGCTCCCCCACGGCCGACGGCAGCGCCCAGTCGGTGGTGCGCGCCTCCAGCGCCAAAGGCCGCTGGCACACGCGCGTGGGCCCGTAGTAGAAACGGATGGCCGCCAGGCTCTCGAAGTCACCGTCCCCTCCAGGGTGGTCCACGTTGAACCAGGACGTCCACTCGCTGGCCTCTGCGGGCAGCGCACGCTCTGAGCCCGGCTCTCAGCCTGGCTGTCCCGGTCCGTGGGTGCAAGGACCTGATCTGCTGAGCCTCCATCCCCCTTCTCGCCCCCCCCCCCGCCCATGAACAGGCTGGCCCAGCTAGCACGCCACCCCGCCCTATCCAGGCCGCCCTATAGGGAGTAGGGGAAGTTGGTCACCCCTGTCCCAGCTCCGTGCCTGAGCTGGCCCATTGGGCGCGCGCCGGGAACTTGCGACTTCTAACTCTAACCCTTGGAGCATCGCTTCCAGGATTTTCAGTATTCAGAGATGAGGCTGGCCCTTCATCTAACCCGTGTCCCCTCCCCTACTGATCCCACCAGCGAGAGTTCATAGGAGTCCACGGCAGAGAGGGGACTCGACCCAGGCTGACCCACCTTCCCAGTCCTCCAGGGCTGGCGAGGGCTGACCAGGGTGCAGGGACGGGCCTTGAAGGCCCCATGCAGCTGCGGAGGGCTCCTCGGTGAGGGCGACGTCTGTAGGAGGAAGGGAGGAGTGGGGGAGAGGAAGCGCTGATGATGGGGGACGCTGTGATCTCTAGTGCCAGAGGGGAGCCATGATCGCCCCCATTTTACAGGGGAGAAAGCTGCGGCTCTGCACCCCCCTCCTCCAGGAAGCCTTCCCATGACCAGCCCCAGGCCCCTGAAGCCGGGTCCTCTCCACCCTCAGACCCTGGAGGAGTCTGAGTCCCACCCTGCTCCTCAGGCCCAGGTGTCCCCATTCGCCCGCTCTGTGGCCACAGGTCGAGTGGGGTGCAATGCGCTGAGCCTCTGCCCTCAGACCGGGCTGCATTCTCCATCTACTTGGCCATCTCAAAGTCCCTCCCTGAATCGATCCGTCCGTCCTCCTGGAGGCTCGAGCCGCCAGCCAGAAGTCCTTGGAATCCAGCCTGACTTCTCTGGCTTCCAGCTATGTAAGATAGCCGGGCAGGGTGACAACCGGACAAGTCGTGTTCTCCCGTCCAGCCTGACTCCTCTGAGCAACGTGCCCATGCTTCAGTCGCTTCTTTGGGTGGTGTGGGTGCGTGCGTGCGAGTTACACGGGAGCGGAGACCTGGTGACTTGGGGTCAGGCGCCCCGCCGTCCCTAGGGGCCAGGAGAACCCTAAGGTTCCTATCCGCAGTCCTGGCGCCCCAACAGTGTCTTCACGGAGCACGGAGAATGGAAGCGATCCCCTCTCCCAGCCCCGGAGCTCAGTTACCCCATCGTCCGCACCCCGCGAGTGGCCAAGGGGACACAGGCCCCGGGAAGGTTCTCTTTCTCTGTGCTGCCCGGCCTCGGGAATGTAGGGGCTGGGCAGGGGGCGCCTCACCTCGGCCACCCGCCAGGTGCGCGGCGGCGACACAGAGACAGAGCAGTGGCAGCGGTGACGCCATCGCCGGGGTCCGAGCGTCCGAGCGAGGGACGGGGCTCCGCGGTGCGCTCGGATCCGACTCGGGCGGATCCCGCTGCAGCTGGGGACTCAGGGTGGGGGCGAGTCGCAGGCCACGCCCTCCCCAGGCCACGCCCACCACCAAAGCCACGCCCCCCGCTGACCGGAGCGCGAGTAACCAAACGAGCGCCCCGGGTCGCCCCCCTCGGTGCGCCCCCGCTGTGCCTCCGCCCTGGGGCTGGCGGGGTCCCCCGTGCCCTCCGTCCTTCCGCTTGGAGGGGACGTCCCCCGTCCATGTCGCCCACCCCGCGGCGACCCGGCGGCGCGCGAGGGACAGGCGGAGGCAGGTGGCGGTGGGAGGTGTTTATTGTGCGGCTCGGCGGCGCGCGCGGGTGGCGGTCACAGCGCCGCCACGCAGTCGGTGCCCGTGTACCCCGGCAGGCGCAGGGCGAACTTGCGGCGCACGTCGTCCGGCACGAACCTGCCGGCCACGAAGTGGTGGCGTCCGGAGAAGCGGCCGGCGCAGCGCTTGGGCGCAGCGAGCGACACCAGCACGTCCGGCCGCAGCCCGTCCTCCGCGTCGCCGCCGGTCTCCGCGTCCCAGCCTGAGCGAGGAGGGACGGACTCGGACCCTGTCCCGGCCTCCCCGCCGCCCACTTCCGCTTCCCCTTCTGCCCCGCGCTCCCCTATCCGAGCCGTCGTGTCCACCTGCTGCTCGTCACCATTCCTCCTTCCTACACTGCAGCTTCCCATCCGCTGCGCCCAGCCTCCCCCCTCGGACCGCCCCATCGGACCTGTCTCCCCCCACACACTTCTTGCTCCCTCCCACCCGACCCTCCGACTGGAGACTCTGCCCTCTGACCGGCCCGGTCTCCCCCTCACGAGGTCCTGCGAGACCCCTCCATGGGTGGCAGCCTGCTCACCCCAGGATGAGCCTCCATCGTCAGACTGGGGTCCTCGCCTTCCCTCCTCCCTCTGACCTGAATCTGGGGCCACTAAGCGGGAGTGGCTCCTCCCTCTGACTAAAGGCCCAGCAGACAGGGCCCCTCTCTGTCCTAGGCTACCTGTTGGGGCAGGAGCCTCCCCCCCTCAGACTAGACAGTCCACTTCCTCCCTTGCCCCTCTCCCGCGCTAGGATGGCCCCGGGATCCCGCGGGATCCCCCAGAGTCCAGCCACCCCCGCAGAGGGTCCGGCTGGCCAGTGGCTGTTTATGCGTCTCTCTGTGGCCTAATGGCTCCAGCAGGCGCGGGGCGGCGGCCAGGGCGGGCGCGGCCTTTGCCGAGTGAGCTCACGTCTGCCCTGGGCAACTGGGCCAGGGGTGGCAGCGGGCAAGCTGGGCTGGCTACGGGGGAGGAGGGACCGGGGTCACCTGGCGCGGCAGCCTTGGTCTTTCCATCCTTGGGACGGGCGTGACTGTCGGCCTCAGCCAGAGAGCACGCTCCCTTCACGCTGGGGAAACTGAGGCTGGGCCTCCTCCCGCCCCCGCCCCGCGTGCCCTGCCTGCCTGAGGGGACGTCCAGGCTCACGAGCGGGATGGACAGCAGCTTCAGCGTGGCCAGCGCGCGGGTGCAGGGGCCGCCGGCCTCCGCAGGCTCCACGCCGGGGCCCAGCACGGCGTCCACCACCAGCCCGTAGGCGTCGTTGATGAGCTGCACCTGGGAGGGTGGGCAGGGTCAGGGGTGGCCCGGGAGCCGTGTCCCCTCCCCGAGGCCGCCCGCACTGACCTCGGTGGGCAGGTAGGACAGGAACGGAATGTCCATCTTCTCACACTGCGTGGTCAGGTCCCGGTGCAGCCCGTCCAGCGATCGAGTGGGGTAGAAGATGGTGGGCTCGTACTCCTGGGGTGGGAAAGAGGGGTGCTGGCCGGGCAGCCCTGTCCCAACACCCGTGACCCCTGGGGACTCCACCACGGGGAGGAAGCCGCCTCCACGGGGACCAGGTGGGGCTGGCCCTGGGGAGTCACTGGGGTCCTCTTACTCACAAACACCCGCAGGTGTCGGGCGCACACCAGCCCCACCGCCCCGTTCTGCTCCGGGCCACACACGACCAGCACTGTCCTCTGCTTCCGTGACAGAGAGGTTAAAGGGAAGACCTGGGGTGGGGGGGAACAGCAAAGGAACGGGCAGGGATCATCAGGCCTCAGTGGGGAAACTGAGGCGCGGAGCAAGAGCTGGGGCCTGGAGGCAACAGGCCAGGGCAGCACAGTGTGCTTAGCCTCTTGGGGCCTCAGTTTCTCTGCTGGACACGGAGTCCCCATCTCAGGCCCCGCTGGGCCCCCACTGGAAAATGCGCCTCCAGCCGCTGCCCCACGCCCCCAGTGCGGTTTGTTTATCCTGGGCCTGGATTGCAGACTTTTTCCACCTTTCAACCGCAGCCGGGCTGGTTTCCAGGCCTCGGCCCCTCCCCAAGGCACCGTGGAGGGGAGCTGGGGGAAGGGGGGCTTTTCCAACCCCACCCAGCCGATGCCTCTCTCCATCCGTCTGTCTGACTCTCAGTCTCGACCCATCTGTCTCTTTCCAGTCTCTTTTTCTCAGACTGTGACTCTCCATTGCTATCTCTCACACTGTCACCAAGTGTGTCTCTCCTGAATGCAGGTGAGGGAGAGGAGGAGGCCGAGGGGGAAGATAGGGAAGGAAGGGAGGGGGAGGATAGGGGAGATGAGGAGGAGGGAGACAGAGCAGAGAGGAGGAGGGGGAAGAAGTAGGAGGAGGAGGGGAGGAGGAGGGGGAAGAGCGGAAGAGGAGGGAGAGATGGAGAGGGAGGAGGAGGGAGAGGATGGCTGGAGAGGAGGAAACAGGGAGGGAGAAGGGAGGAGACCTAGGGAAAGGGGGAGGGGAGGAGCACATGGTGAGCTGGAGTGCGTCCTCAAAGCATTGGCATTTGTGACCTGATTGGAAACCAGGCTCTGCACGCTGGTCTTGAAGCGCCTCTCCTGCCGCCTTGCACACACTAGGCCGGGTGACACCTCTGCATCTCACTTAATGTGACCTCTGCCCCTCGGGCCTCAGTTTCCTCAGCTGCAGCTCAGATGGGGGAAGGGAGACCCGGGCTTGGCAGAAGCAGGCAGGTCACAATTCAGAGGGCCCTGGCTCTCACGTCTGACTGGCTCTGGGCCTCAGTTTCCCCATCTGAGTGATGGGCTGGGGTAGCTCCAAGCAGAGACAGGCTTCTTGGGGGCGCCAGGGCCATAAGTTAGTGCTCAGCTCTGGTGGGTCAGGTTGGGGTCAGGGACAAGTACCTTGGTCACAGCCACCGCACTAGCATGGCCGCACAACTCCACCAGCTGCAGCCGCCCGAAGCGATAATCCTCCAGCAGCTCCCGCTCCAGGGCGGCCGCCTCCGCCGTGCTGGGGGACAGTGGGGAGATGCTCAGGCACCCCGAGAGATGGGCAGGCCTGCAGAGGGCCACGCAGGGGCAGGCGCAGCCCGAGGGGTCCTCGCTCTCTTGCTCAGTTTCCCCATCCCACAAGCTCTGGGTGAACGGCAGCCCCCGGGAGGCTGGTGTCCAAGCCCCAGGCGCGCGCGCCCCCTGGCGGCCGCAGGCGAGCATGGCGGGCAGCGCTGCTTTGCTTTGCCCCAAAGCTGGGAGACCCAAAAGGGGGAATGGAGACTAGAGGACCATTTCTTCCAGACAGGGTCTCGCTGTGTAGTCAAGGATGGCGCGGAACTCGTGATCCTCCCCTCCTCCTTAGTGCTGGGATTACAGCTGTGGCCACTTTTAAAGAACTTTGAAGGACGCTGATTTCTGGCAGTGGGAACCACTGAACAAGTCCCAGGACACTGGAGGGGTGGAGCTTGGGGAGGTGGATGTGAGACCCTTTTAGGACCCCCTCTGCAGGGGCAATGGCGAAAGTAGGATATTTGTGGTCAGAGAGGGAATCACCTGCCTTGAGGTGACTCTGCCACCCACTTTTCTGAGTGACTGCTGGGGTCTGCCTCCACCTCCCTGGACAAAATGTGAGGCAGGAGGAACTGTACGGTTTGCAGGGCCCAGTGCAGAAAAAACTATTAAGCTCAAAGCTATTAAGGATTTAGGGTTGGCTGGGCGCCCGTGACTCACCCTGTAATGCTAGCTACTTGGGAGGCTGAGATCTTGAGGATGGCCATTTGAGGCCAGACAGGGTAAACAGTTCCTGAGACCTCCTCTCCAAAATAGCCAAATGAGAAAAATGGACTGGAGGTGTGGTTTGAGCCATAGAGCATCTGCTTTGCAAGTGCAAAGCCCTGAGTTCAAACCCCAGGCCCACAAAAAAACCTCATGAATTTAGGGCTGGGGATACAGCTCAGTGGCAGACCACCGGGTTCCATCCTCAGCACTGAAGAAAAAAAGTTAAGAATTTTTTGGTCACATTAGGGGTTGAACTCACACTTCCTAAGCAGATACTCTACCAGCCCTTTTTTGTTAGTTCTTTTTGAGACTGTCTGGACCGCAGTCCTACTATCTGTGCTTCCCCAAGTAGGTGAGATGACAGACATGCACCACCACACCCAGCCGTTAGCTAGGATAGGATCTTTTTTTCACAAAGTACTTGCCTGAACTGGCCTCAAACCCCATCTTCCCAATCTCCACCTCCCAAGTAGCTAGGATCACAGGCTTGAGCCACCACGCCCAGCAAATGTAATTTCCAGATAGCGGTGGCAGAGCACTAATGTGAATGTTAGGCCCTCCGTCATGCAGGGCTGGGCAGAGTTGTCAGGGAGGGCACTCCTCACTCCAGGCTCAGCCCTGGTGGGCAGAGCACAGGTCAGTCAGGCTGCTATAGGATGGGCATTGGGGAAGCTCCCTGAGGAGACCAAGTGTCACTCTCCCAAATGTCACGCTGAAGGAAGCTATCGCGGAAGGCACTTTGGGGGGTCATGAAGATGGGGAGACAGGTGCAGGGGAGGAAATCAGAGGCCTGAGTCTGCGGCTGTTGTAGAAAGAAGCTTAAGGACCGGAAGGGAAAGGACTCCCGTTGGAGCCAGACGAAGATGGTGGCAGGGCAGGCAGCCCAGTGCCCAGGAAAGCTCAGGTTTGGAGAGGGCCAGTGTGATGGTGCCCACCTATGATCCCAGCCACTGGGTATGCTAAGGAAAGAGGACTGAGATTTTGAGGCCAGACAGAGCCCATCTCTAGGAAAAAAGAGGACTGGGGGGGGCGTGGCTCAAATAGCAGAACGCCTGTTTAGCATGTTCAAACTCCAGCACCACACACACACACACACACACACACTCAAGTTGGTGGCGCGCTGGGAACATGGCTCATTCCCAACTTGTCTTGGTGACAGATCTGGCTGCTGGGGAGGAAGAGAAGAGGGGAGATTCCTCCTCTCCATGCATCCCGGAGTTCCACCTGGCACTTCCTCTTAACTGGTGACTGGAGGTAACGGGACACTGGGCAGAAGAGTGGAAATGAGAGCCCAGCGGTGGCCAAGGCAAGCCCAACTCCTGTGGGGCTCTGTGAGGTTCTGACAAGAGGGTGCCTTTGCTCCCCCCGGCTTCAGTCCCCAAATGAGAGGGGCTACAAGACTCTGGGATTTCCTTGACACACCCAGGACTGAAATGACCTGCGTCCAATGGGAACTGGGAACCATGCCAGACCCCGCCTCGCTCCCCACCCCCTCCACCTGCGCCCACCAGGTTAGTGCTCACCTGGCCACCTCCATAAGGTAGTCTTGTGCCCCAAGGAATATTCACACCCTTACGTGGCCCTCCAACCAGCTCCCCATTATGCCAGAAATAACAACTGTCCCACATGGACTGCATATTCAAACTGCTCAAAATCTGCCCTCTCTGGGCCTCAGTGTCTTCCTCTGACAGGGACTCGTAGCAGGGTGGGTCACATGGGTCTTTTAGGAATTTTGACCAGCTCTTCCCAGATGCGGAACGGGGCTCCGGTTCCCCGGCCCCTGAGAACAGGAGGGGAGGGGAGATGAGCCTGGGTAGGTTGGGGGCTGGCAGTGCCTAGAGGTGCTGATGAGTAATTCAGAAGGGGCAGGTCCCCGGATGCGGTTTCCCTAGCAACTCAGCTGGGAGGCTGCTGCAGCACAGGCGGGCCTCCATCCTCGCTGTACCCTGGATTCCTGCCCCCCAGCCCTCAGCCTCTATCCTATCCTGGCCAGGGCCCTGCCCACGGTCCCCCAGCATCTCCCTCCCGCTGACCTGAGGAATCGCCGCTCCTCGGGCGCCTCGGACAGGTCAGCGTCTGGGTGGCCCGCGCTGCTCATGGCCGAGGTGAGCGCTGCGCACAGCGCGCCGTCCACGCCGCGGCCTTTTAAGCAAATCCCGCCGGGGAGGCGGGACCGCCCGCCCCAGCGCCCACCAATCAGGAGGCGCCGCGAAGGCGCTGCGCCCGGCCATTGGCTGCTGGCTGCAGCGGCCTTAACCCTTCGGTGCCCGGAGCGGAGCGCGGGGTGGATGGAGCACAGTGGAGACTGCATCCGCGTCTCCGCCCGGGGCCAGCCCGGGAGTGCGGGGCGCCTTGCCCGCCATCCCCTCCGCCCCCGCCTGGAGACCTCTCGAGGTCCCCTCTGCAGAGCCGCCCCGCCCGTCCGCCCCAGTCCCCGACACGGCAGGCCAGGTGTCCAGAGCGTTTATTCTCCCGGTGGGGCAGGGTCCAGGCCAGGAGCGCTGCACTACGTGTACCACAGGTGGCCGCGGCCAACGCTGACAACCTCCTCCGAGGTGCGCAGCCCGTACAGCTCGCCGATCAGCGGCGGCACCCAGCGCGTCGTGTTGAACACGGACTCGCCCACCTGTGGGGAGTAAGGGGCCACTCAGTCCAACCCCCTCCTCCTGACCCCCCACGACTGGCGGCCCCCGTGCGGGCTCAGGAGCTCCGCAGCTCCCCTCTGCGGACCCACCTTCCAGTTGGGCACGTCCTTCATGATGATTGCCTCCTCCTCCAGGTTCTCCCGGAGCATCTGCAAGGTCCTGCGGAGGGGGATCCGCTGGCTAAGGAACCCGCGGCCCTCCCACTGTCCTCACTTTCTCTCCCCCAAACTCCTCCAGGAAGCCTCCCCGCCCTCCCTTCAGGGGATCCTTGGATCTCAGCCCGCTCCAAGGGTGCCACAGGTCCCCACTGCCCAGGAAGCAGGTGAGGCCCGCGCCCCCCAGCCCAGCCTGCGGCCCTACCTGCGGTCCTTCTCTGCCAGGAGCAGCGGCATGAGAGCAATGCGGGCCTCCAGGTCCTCGATCAGCAGGCGCCTGTGAAACCCCAAAACACACGGGGCCAGGCTGCATGAGGAGCGTAGACCCCAGGGTGCCATGGGACCAGGGACGGTGCTGGGGTCTGTCTGCATCCATAGGAACCCAGATGCAAGAGTGGGCGGTGGGGCAGGCAGCTGGCACAGGCACAGTCCACAAAACTGTTGGCTTCACAATTTCAATTAAAAACTTTTTATTGTCCTAAAAATAGCCCTGCCTGGTGATCACCGTGAAGGAGGGACACACTGATCACGGCCTTACAAAACCTCATCCCCTTTGTCTCAAAATAGCACAGGGTGTGAGGCGTGGGGGCAGGCAGGCGGGGCCTGAGCACCCTTGCTTTCTTCCCACTATCTGCAGGCTCTACTCCCGCCTGTGCTGCAGGGGTTGTGGGAGGACAGTGCCCTGAGATGTGGCCCCGTGACATAGGGACAGGAGAGGATGCCTGGCCCTGAGGGGCCACTGCCTGCTGTATTCTGGTTCCTACACCCCAATCATCCCTGCTGTGTCACCGGCCTGCTTCTCCACTGCTGCTGAACACGTGGCCACCATCCCGTGCTGGGCCTGATGACTGCGGCAGATACGGTGGGGGGACACTGGCCTACCTGCGCTGGCGATTCCATTTTATCATTCTCCAGCACCCGAACAGCAGGGCCCCGATGCCGATGGCGAACATGCTGTAGCCTGCGGAGGGAGGCACCGCACTCAGGCTGCTGAGGTCACAGGACAGGCCTCTACCTGTGTCCTCCCTTCCCTGGGCAGAGGGAGAGGGTGCGGGCTCCCCAGGGCCGCACCCCGCAAAGGCCATGGGGCCAAGGGTGTGATCGTCACTGTCCTCATTCCACATCACTGACACTGGCCCACCAGCCTGCAGTGACAGACGCCAGGCAGCAGGCCGCCTAGGGTGCCACACCACTGGGGTTTCGGGCAGGGGCTGGGGAGAGCCCCCAGAGCCATGGATAAGCCCCCACTACACAGTGATTCCTGGCCACCTGGGCCATCACCTGTGTGCGTTCACAGGGTAGCCCAGCCAGCCCCTGAGCTCCGGGCTCAGCAGGGTCAGCCCCCTGCCTTGCACACAGGGAAGGGACAGAGGCTGGCATGAATGTTTACTGACAACCAGCGGGAGCCTTGGCTCCAATCCTGACTGACAGGCTGGGGTCCCTGGGGTCCAGCTTGCCCTGCACCCCCTCAGCTTTCCAGCCCCGTGTCTGGATGCTGCATTGTCCCGATGCTTGGTGGCTGCTGGGACAAACTGACAAGGAAGCCAAGCTCCATTTAACACCCAGCAATGCCTTTGAATGGAAAGCCATCCATGGGCCTCGGGGTGTGTGTGCCCTGCTTGGTGCCTGCTGAGGCTGCCTGGCACCACCCCCAGATCAGGAGATGAGTGAGAAACTGGCTGTTTCTAGCCGTCTTTCACCCATTAGAAGTGTGTGCTCAGGTAAGGCCCTTATGGTCACAGGGTGGGCAGCAGGTGCACAGGGCTCTCGGGGACAGGGTTGTGCTGGGTGCTCAGAACAGCTATGCTGGCTGCCTGGGTTGGGCACTCAGTGGGGGTGTTCTTCAGCACTGCCCTGCTCCTTTTTTGACAGCTACAAAGGATGCAGAGGACAAATCTGGATCCCCCCACCCCCTCTGGTCCACACCTGGGCACCCAAGGGTGGGTCCATCTGTGAGATAAATTCCAAAGAATAAAAGGGCTTTTAGGAGGCAGTATTTCATGCCTGGAGGCAGCCTGCACAGGCTCTCTCTCTTGCCCCAGGACCTTGGGTGGTCTGCACCTCAGCAGCTGCCATGGACAAGGTGGTTTGTGTGTGAGGCCACTCTTTCTTTTTTTTGAGACAAGTTACCTAAACTGGGCTCAAACTTGTGAATTTCCTGCCTTGGCCTCCCAGGTAGCAGGGGTTAGAGGTGGTGGGCGGCACCTGGCTTCACCCCTTCCTGAATAAGTAAGTTCAGGGGACTGGAACAGTTAGCCCCGAGCAGATGATGGTGCTCCCCAAGTTCTTGTGCACGTTCAGCGCCACCCTCACCAGAATCCCAACCCCCTGCCTCGGGCAGGCTGTGAAATTCACACGGAAATGCAAGGGACCAGAATAGCCCAGAACAATTTGGAAAAGGGGGACAGAGCTGCAGACCTGGAGTTACACTTCACCGCTCCCAAAGTTCTTTCGCAGCTGTGTGTACAGGACACTGCAGCGCTGGCAGAAAGATGGACACGTCCGTCAGCGGGACAGAAGCAGAGGCCAGAAATAAACCCTCACATTCACGGCCAATTGGTGCTGGACAAAGGTGCCAAGACAATTCAAGGGGGAAGGAGAGAACAGCCTATTCAACAAATGGGCAACTGCACAGCCATACGCAGAATAATGACACGTTCTGTCCTTGTCCAATGTGCGAAATTAACTACAAGCGCAGCACGGGCCTAAACCACACTCAGAACTCAGAGGAGAGTCTCTGTGACCTCGGGCAGGACGATGGCCTCTTCAATAGGACCCCAAGCAGTCGCCAAGTGAAAAAGTCAGACGCTTGAAATTACAAACCTTCACGCTGCAAACGGTATCAATGGCTGAGAAAGACAACGAAAGTATCTGCAAGTCATATTATCTGATAAAGATACATCCACAATGAAAAGACTGAACAGTAGTGACCTTCTGGGCACAGTGGCCACGCCTGTGATGCCAGCACACGGGAGGCTGAGACAGGAGGATGGAGAGTTCAGGGCCAGCATGCGCTGTACAGTGAAAGCCCACCTCAGAAAACCAAGGGTCACCAGGCGTTGGTGGCTCACGCCTGTCACCCGCTAACCCTAGTACTACTCAGGAGGCAGACATCAGGAGGACTGAGGTTCAAAACCAGCCCAGGCCAATAGGTCAGAACACCCTATCTCAAAAAAACCCATCAGAAAAAAAAAAAGGGTTGGTGGAGTGGCTCAAGGGGTAGGCCGAGTTCAAACCCCATCATTGCGGGGGTGAGGGGGGGTCGCAAAGGCGTAGCTCAGTGGTAGAGCAGTCTCTAGCATGTATGTACAAGGTCCTGGGTCCCATCCCAGCACCACAAAACACAAGAGGAGCTACCCAACATCACCAGTCATCAGAGAAACACAAGGAGAACCACAGGCCGGGCCACCTAGTCTAAAGCAAGCCCGGCAGCAATTCCGGCCACCTCAGCTAGCACTCACTAGCTTACCCACCAGTGACTGAAGGGGGGACGGAAACAGAGACTGAGCCACCAGAGGGCATCTTCCTTCCCCCCTGCAGCCAGCAAGGATGGGATGGGTGTGACATGCAGGACCTGAGGGCAACCCCAGGCAAGCCGTATGTAAGGTGATACCCAGCACACTGGGAGGCACTGGTGTGTCATGACTGGAAGAGAACAGGGGTAAAAGGCGTGTTTATGACTTAAGAATGACTTAAAAATGAAAATGAGCCACTGACTCAGGGAGCCCGAAGGCACCCAGAGCTGGGATGCTTCCACAGCCTGACCAAGGAGCGGGGCACACCTACAGTAAACACAAGAATGCTTCAGGCCTGAGGGGTGCACGGGCCTTGGTGCTAAGTTACACCTCGAGAACAGAAATAAGGGGCCAGGCATAGTAGTCATGCCTGTAATCCCAGCAGGAGGATGGAGAGTTTGAGGACAATCTGGGACCCTGTCTCAAAACAACAAGCTCAGCACGGTGGCTCATGCCTGTCAGTCCTAGCTACTTGGGAGGCTGAGATAGAGGATCAAGGTTCGAGGCCAGCTGGGGCAAACAGTTCCCATGACCCCATCTCCAAAATAACCATAGCAAAATGGACTGGAAGAAGAAACAGGGGGCTAGAGGTGGGGGATGAGGCTCACTGGCCGAGCACTTGCATGAAGCCCTGGGTTCATTCTCCAGCACTGTAAAACAAAACACCACCAACAAAAGGAAAGCAGACTCAGGCTTATACTGGTTTAATCCCAAGCTTGTATGGATGCCCGTGCAAAGCAGGGGCTCTACGTATGGCTTGAGCCACAGCTCCAGTCCATTTTGCCCTGGTCATTTTAGAGATGGGGTTTCGAGAACTATTTGAAGGCTGGCCTGGAACCACGATCCTCCCGATCTCAGCCTCCTAAAGTAGCTGGGATTACAGGCATGAGCTACCTGGCGCTCTGGCACTTGGGCTAGAACTTGTAAAATTGTTGTCTTGGCCACTGAAACCCAGAATGCAAAATGCCTAAACTGTTTTTGTTGTTGTTTTGTTTGCTTGGCAGTGTTGGGGTCAGACCCAGGGTCTCCTGCATGGTAGGCAAGCTCTTTACCACCAGGCCACACATCCAGCGCTGACTTTTCTTCTACAGAAATTGTCACTTTTTTGAAAAAAAAAAAAAAAACACGCTCATGAATTTCTCTGTTTTTTTGAATTGATGCATAATTTGGATAACGTGCACAGGCTTTTAAATGTGAAGATCGATGAATTACAGAAAATGTGCTCACCCTAAAATGAGGTTTAAGATTCTGTATTTCGGCATTGGGGATGTAGCTCAGTGGATGAGTGTTTGCCTAGCATGAATGAGGTCCTCGGTTCGATCCCCAGTACCGCATTAAAAAAAAAAAAAAAAAGGGAAAAGCAACACAATTTTGTATTTTTTCGGCTTCCCAACCAGGAAAAGGCAAGAGTGGCCAACCTCAGTTTAACCCAACGGTAAAATGTAAATAATCAACGAGACAGACCTCCCGGGCGGTCATGAGAAGGAAGCAAAGCCCTGACCAAGTGCTAGTTGCTCCGCAGCTGTCCTTAGGGCCTTTGCCTCCTCTCACACCTTAGGGTAAACTGAGGCCCGCCCCCGTCCCCGCCGCAACGTCTCGACGGTTTAGACTCCACGACCCCGGCGCAGGGCGACACTGACCCGACAGTCCCCGACGCGGCAGGTTCCGCTTGTAGTCAATGGGGCCGTAGCCCCCGGAGGGGGCATGTCCTGCTTCACCTTCGACGCCGCCATGCTAGCAGGACCCCGCACTTCCGGGCCCGGGCGGAAGTGACGCGACCGACACCGCCATGATGAGTGTGGCGGAAAGTCCCCATGCAGGTCTCCGGCGGCGCAGCGGAACTTAAGAGCCTTGGCATAGTTGTCGTCGCTCCGGAGAGTTGAGGCGAAGGGACCCGGGTTCCAGCGCGTGCCGAGCGAGAGAAGTCCCTGTTAGTTGGTCCCGCGTGCTGGAGCGAGACTCAGTCATTGTCGGCACCTTCCGGGGCGCCCGGGACCGTGGGCACTAACAGTCCCCGCGTCACCTTCCCTCTGGGCGATGCACTAGGCAGAAGGAAACCCCGTACTCCCGAGAGAGTCCCGGCCCCTCCCCCCCGAGGGAGGGGTGCGCAGTGAGCAGCGCAAGGCTCCACGTGGTCCCGGGGCTGGGTATATGGAATTGGGGGGAGACTCACGAAGCAGCGCCCCAGTCTCAGGAACCGATTCTGCTCTCCGGTGGTGGTGGGCACCCCTGGCTTAGTGGCCTCTCACCAGGAACTGACCATTCAGAGCGATTGAGTCACAAAGCATGAAAGTCTTAGGGCCCTCATGGGGCGGGGTCAGGGTGACCCCCCACCCCCAAGGTAGAGTGACGCCCGCAGTCACTTCACAAGGCAGAAATTGTTACCCTGGCAATAAGAGACATCGCGGTGGTGGGGGCGCGGGAGTGGGCACATGGGGGTGCGGGGGTGCGGGTGCCAAGCGCCATGGGTTAGACCCGAGATCGGAGTCCGGCCGCCCCCCCGACAGCAGCCGCCTCCTAGTCTCCGTGCGCCCCGGGCGCCACCATGTCGGGCGACAAACTCTTGAGCGAACTCGGCTATAAGCTGGGTCGCACGATAGGTGAGGGCAGCTACTCCAAGGTGAAGGTGGCCACCTCCAAGAAGTACAAAGGTACGGTGGCCATCAAGGTGGTGGACCGGCGGCGAGCGCCCCCGGACTTCGTCAACAAGTTCCTGCCGCGAGAGCTGTCCATCCTGCGGGGTGTACGGCACCCGCACATCGTGCACGTCTTCGAGTTCATCGAAGTGTGCAACGGGAAGCTGTACATCGTGATGGAGGCGGCGGCCACCGACCTGCTGCAGGCCGTGCAGCGCAACGGGCGCATCCCCGGGGCGCAGGCGCGCGACCTCTTCGCGCAGATCGCGGGCGCCGTGCGCTACCTGCACGACCACCACCTGGTGCACCGCGACCTCAAGTGCGAGAACGTGTTGCTGAGTCCTGACGAGCGCCGCGTCAAGCTCACCGACTTCGGCTTCGGCCGGCAGGCGCACGGCTACCCCGACCTGAGCACCACCTACTGCGGCTCGGCCGCCTATGCGTCGCCCGAGGTGCTCCTGGGCATCCCCTACGACCCCAAAAAGTACGACGTGTGGAGCCTGGGCGTGGTGCTCTACGTCATGGTCACCGGGTGCATGCCCTTCGACGACTCGGACATCGCTGGCCTGCCGCGGCGCCAGAAGCGCGGCGTGCTCTACCCCGAAGGCCTCGAGCTGTCCGAGCGCTGCAAGTCCCTGATCGCCGAGTTGCTACAGTTCAGCCCATCCGCCAGGCCCTCGGCGGGCCAGGTCGCGCGCAACGGCTGGCTGCGCTCGGGGGACTCCGGTTAGGAGCCGGGGTTCCCGCGGGTTTGGCGCGCGCGGCCGGCACGGAGCCAGCGCGGCGCACGAGCGCGAGAGAGGCGCGCTTCCGGGGACCCGCGAAGCCGCCGCGCACCACTGCGCACGCGCGCGCTCTTCTTCCCCTCTCCTCCCCTCTCCACCGCGGGGACTCGAGCGACCCCGGGGCTGGAATCGAATCCCTCCTGCCTCCGCCGAGTCCCGAGAGCTGCAGAGCGCATGCGCAACCTCGGTTTCTCCCTCTCCGCCCCCCTCCCAACAAAGACCCCGGGAGGGGCGGGGCGAGAGGACGCGGAAGCATTGCGCCTGCGCGGAACGAGCGATGGCTGTGCCCTGCCCGGCCAGCCGCGGATGCTGGGTTCCCCGATGGAACTTGCAATAAACTCGCTCTTCCTCGCACGTGGCTGAAGCAGTGGCCCCTTTTACGAAGCAGGGGTTTTGGAGGGCGGGGATCGCTTCCGCTGGGGAAGGTGGGCGCGGGCTTCCCATTTTAGAGAGGCATGTGGAGGTTCTGGTTTCAGACCTCGAAAGGGAATTGGGAGGATTCGAACCGGGGCTTTTCAGAACCCCCAACCTGCAAAGACTCCAGGGAACTTTGTTGTCGTCCCTGGAGTCGTGATCGTACTAGGAATCGGGGTACTGGGAAGGGGGAGCCACCGGACCTGAGACCCTCCCCTGTCCTGGTGGTCAGGCGGGGTGGTGGTGGGGACTGACTGCCTATCTGCATAGACTGAACGTTTGCACTGGGGGAAACTGAGGCCCACACCAAGTGTCACTTGCCCCAAGACAGCTGGGATTTGAACCCAAATCTTCGGGTGGGACCCTTCCTTCCGAGGAAGAGGTGGGATTGGGCTGGGGCCAGCAAAGGCCTCTTGGTTCATTCGTGTCTCCATGCATTTGTTGAGCACCTGCTGTGGACCAGGCCCTGGGACTCAGCAAAGAGGCTCCAGGCCCATCTGCGTACCCCAGGAGGAGGCACCGTGCAAAGTCAAGTAGAATAAAAAAAGCATGGCGTGCAAATAAAATTGTAAGTTGTGCTGAATGCCGGGTCCCAAGGAGGGACCCCAGTCGCCATATTGGAGCTGTGCCCAAATCAGCCATTGGAAGTGGCAGCGGTTTGGCTGGGAGGGAGAGAGGGAAGGAGGAGAGAGGGAGAGGAGGCCACTGAGCCCAGAGGGCCTGGGGGAGGATACTGGGTTTGGTGACAGCTGCCATCTGTCCCTTGCGGTGGATGGGACCTATCTCCCTAGCCCTGATCCTGCCCCTTTCATTGTCCCTCTCCTTCCCCCAGGGACCTGCTCAGCTCTGGGTCACTCCCCACCCAACCCCTGCTACTCATTCTCAGTGGCTTGCCACTGAGAATGCTCCCCTCACCCCTTCAAATAGACCATGGCCCCATCCGCAGTTTGCAGGTGAGAAAACTAACAGGACAGGAATCGAATCCTCACCCTCCTCCTTGGAGTCCAGATCCACTGCCTTCTTTGGTCCCCTGTCCCAGGATGGAGCCCAGGGCCTCATCCCCCAGACCCATGCCAGGATGGAACCAGGAGCCTGCTAGGTAAGGCTCACACACTGAGCGGCACCCCAGCCCTCTTTCCTTGACCAGCCCACCTCCCAGTCTTTGCACAGACCCTACACCCTCTTGAAGGCTTCCGCTTCTCTCCCTCCCACCCAGTGGCTGCAGGCCCTAGGCTCAGGTTGAAGAAGACAGGTCTGAAGGACCAGGGCCAATGTCTCACTTCTCAGCTAAAAAAGCTGCTTTTCACAGCCCAGGGCCCGCCCGTGACCTGCCCTGGGCCATCAGTCTTGGTGCATTATGGATACAGAGGGACAGATTTGGCTTTCTCTGTTTCCTCTGCCAGCTGAGAGGCGAGCATGCCTAGGCCTTAGCTGAGGTCCTGGCTGCAGGGAGGGACATCGGCTCCAGGCCAAAGGCTGGGATCCCTCAAAAACAGCAAAACAAAAAGCACCTGGAAAAATAGGGTCACGTGTTAAGCACTTTGAAATTCACCAAAGTGATCTAATTTTTTTTTTCTTCCCCAAGACAGGTTCTAGCTATGTAGCCCAGGGTGGCCTTTCACTTGGGAGCTCCTGCCTAGTTAGTCTCTGGTGCAGAGATTACTGAAGTGTACCACCACACCTGTTTTTCTTTTTGTTTTGTTTGTGGCACTGGGGTTTGAATTCAGGGCCTCACGCTTGTTAGGCAGTTGCTCTTACTGCTTGAACCACTCCCCTGGTCCTTTTTTGTGATGTTTCTTTTTTCAAGATAGGGTGTCTGTCGTGAACTATTTGCATCAGTGTCTGCCTCCTGAGGAGCTAGGATTGTAAGCGTGAGCCACCGGTGTCCGGCCCACACCTGGTTCTTAAAGTGAGACCTGTCGCTGGGCATGGTGACCATCCAAATTTGTAATCTCAGCACTCACTTCAGAGGCTGAGGCAGGAGTAGCTCAAGTTTGAGGCCAGCCTGGGCTACACAGTGAGACCAAAAAAATCCAATCCCACCACGTCAAAAAAATAAAACGTGCCAGTGACTCAGGGTCTCTATGATCTTAGCTGTTTGGGAGGCTGAGTGAGATTGGGAAGAGTTCCAAAATAACCAGAGCAAAACGGACTGGAGGTGTGGCTCAGACGGTAGAGCACCCGCTTTGCAAGTGCAAACCCCAGTCCTGCCAAGGCGAGGACAGGTAGGGGAGGGGCTCCATCCACGGAGGACACCACACAGTGTGCACCCCACCCTTTACTTCCCCCTTTAACAGAAGGCTCCCCTCCTCCTAGCTCCCAAGCTCCACAGGGAACATGGGACGGGGGGACAAAAGAACAGCACAGTCGGCACAGTCCACCCCACTCTTGTGCCTTCCTCATGGCGTAACACATGGCCAGCCTCCTTTTCATTTGATGGCACCTCTTTCTGGCTTGGTGGTGGGCAGTTTTTCCTTTTTACATTTGTTTGTGAGCTGGGCACAGTGGTACATGCCTATAATCCCAGCACCCGGGGAGGCTTGAGTCAGGAGATGAGTTCTAGGCTAGGGCTGGACTACACAGTGAGACCCTATCGCAAAAATAAACGTTTTATTACTAAAGATTGAGTCACAAGACACAAGTGACAGCCTCCCCCCAGTCCCCACACCCTGCTCTATTACTTTGCTGGGACTGTAAAATTGCTTTCCTTTCTTAGAGAGCTCAGTCCACATTCCTTTGCTCCTGTGGGCCGCAAGCCTCAGTATTAAGGGAAAGCGGCAGGGCTGTCTTTCCTACCGCAGTCACCCCGTGGGAACTCCCTATGTTGCCACCCAATAGGCCAGTGTGGGACGCTGGGGACACGGTGGCAGCCAGCCACCTCAGTTCCTCTGCATGGATGAACTTTGGCTTCTGGGGGTCCTGGGGACACTTTAGGACTCAAGGCTGCTCTCAGTGCTGACACCCCAAACTCTGCTAAAGTGTGGTTCCCAACATCACCATGGGCCAGAGTCCCCATGTGGCCAGAGCCAGCAGCAGCTAAGTGGACATTCACACATGCATGGATGGGCAGGGGAGGGGGACGCCCCACCTTAGTTAACCACATAGCAGCGGACACTGGGAGGTTTCCAGTTACCTCTGCAGGTTCACTTGACGGATAACTAGGGACCATGATCGTCGTTTGGAGCCAGGGTGCCCACACTGTCATGGGTCACAGGAGCCAGATCCCAACAGGGCTTGGGGAGACCAAAATCTGGCACTTTAGGACTTACACAGCAGGTTTTGGGGTCTGCCTCAATGCTTGTGTAATAGCGTGAATACTAAAGTACCCTTTCCTGGTCCACCCCCATGCCACACCCAGAGTCTGGTCAGACCTTTGCTCTAACAAACTCTCAGAGCAGTCACTGTGCAGGGGACTGAAGGGAAAACAGCATGGCTCCCAGACAATAGAAATGACAGACTAAGGGATCACATTCCTGCTCCCTTTAACTAAAAAACTAACCACTGTCCTGACAGGGATGCTCTGAGGGGACACAGGCTGGAGGTCACAGCCAGGGCCCTGCTGTCCTCTGCTTGTGGCCCTTCCCTCACGAGGACCAACAAGGCCTGGTCAACAGCCCCAAGTCCCAGAGGAAAAGTCCAGCCAGCCTTAGAGAGCTGGAGCAGGGGTGGTGGGCAGGGTTCCCATGAACCGGGGCCCTCAGGCCACCAGTTCAAGCTGGGGGGTCCCTGAGACACCCGTCTGGTGCAGGGTGACATGGCTGGGATGCCCACGTTCTCATGCTCCCAGGACCCAGCACTTTGGGGGATGGCATGGAAATGGGGTCTGTTGCTGGGAAGCCTCTCAGCAGAAAGAGGCCACCACGCCTGCTGCTCCTGTGTGACGAGTGGAAAATGTGGCCTGTGTCACTGAACAGAGAGGGCCAGCAGCTCAGGGTAGTAGAAGACAGGTGTTTATTTGCCAGGCACACAGAAAATGCGAGGAAGAGAAATGCTTGCATACTCCATTTTTTTTTTTTGTTTTTGGTGTAAAAACTCCCACACCCCCACAAAAAAAACCGTGAATTCCCCTCCTTTCCCCCAAATCCCTGGTTGGAATGGAAGCCACCCTTCCTCAGCCTGCCCTCTCCTCCTGCAGCCCAACACTCAACACACAACTCAGTGACGTGGTGCTGGGCATCAAACACAAACGCTCCCCAAAGCTAGGTCCTGTGTGGGCGACAAACGCTCCCTGGAGACCGAGGGCATCACGCCTGAGATGGTTAAATGAGCTTTATTAGAGCTGCGGCAGGGTCTGGAAGGCATCCTACAGAGGAAGGCTTTAAATTAACGTCCCGAACTGCAAACGGGAGAACCGGGGCTGGAGTGGAACTGGGAACAGAGACCACACAGGGCACCTGTGCCAGCCATGAGTGGTGGACACAGGACAGCTTCCACCTTTCCTCCCGGAACTGATTCAAGAGTGGGAGGGGAAGGATCAAAACGAGAACTAAAGCAGACCTGATCCTTTAAAAAACCTTTCTGTCGACTAAGGAGGAAGGAAAAGGACAAGTCTGAAGAGAACCCTGACGGCGCCCCAGCCTGCAGAAGGGGCTCCAGACACCTGTGCACGCTGGGCACTGGTGATGTGCAGTGCAGGCTGGCTTGACATTGTGTCCATCAAAATGAGCAGGAAAAGAAAAGGGAAAGATTTAATAAAATAAACCACAACAACAACAAAACCCCCACGCAGCCTCCCCTCCAGCTTTCTGTGGCGGGCGGGCATCGCCTTCCTTCTGGGGATCCCTGGGTCTGGCGGGTCTGGGCTGCAGTCTGTTCTTCTGCCAAGTGTTGGAAGTCCGGGGTCTCCAAACAGAACAAGCAGCAACGGAGGCCCTCGGCCGGCACGGGGGCTGGCCGGCCACCTGTGCCTGTCAGTCAACTGGGCCATCCCTGCAGGGCTGTGCTGTCAGTGGCCTGCTGTCCAGCGAGTGGGCCTGCCAGGACTATGCTGTGCAGGACAGGGACCCCAGGTCTGCACGGTTTACTTTGAATTCCATCATCATGAGGTGATAAAAAAAAAAAAAAAAAATCTTTCAACCTATAGATTGCCATGAAGGGAGGCAGTCAACGATCAGGAACCTAAGACGGGGAAAAGCAAAAAGAACACAAACGCCCGCTCTGCTTCAGAAGCCCCAGGCGCCAGCCTCGCCTGGCGTGTCACAGTGTCCGGGTGAGCTGCCCGCACCTGCTGGGCCGGAGGAGGGCGGGGCGGAGCCAGCCCCGAGGTCCGCACTTCTGCTGGTGTCGGGCAAACTAAAGGCAAAGAGAGAGGAAGGAAGCCCGCGGGGAAGGTCCCTCAGTTCTGTTCCTCATCCTCTGAGAAGCCCCAAGAGGCTGCAGCCAAGAGCCGAGGTCTGGCCTGGGCAGTGCAGCCCGCGCAGCATGTCCTGGCCTGGGGCACGGGAGGGAGGAGCGCCTGTCCCCCGCTGGGCCCGGCTGCACTATTTCCAGGTGGCCGACTGGGGGATGGAGCGTGGCGGGATCATGTCCAGGAGGTATTCTCGCTGCCGGTCCACGGCTGAGGAGGTCTTGTGCACCGCCAAGCTCGGGCTGACGAAGGCAAGGGTCCCACCTGCAACACAGCACAGGGACAGGCAGCAAGGCCGGTCAACGGAGCGGCCCCACCACAGTGTGGCCACCTGCAATCCTAGGCCTCAGAGCTGGGGAGGATTCAAGAAATAATCCCATCTCCTAGGAGACATTTCTGGGATCTGCCAAGGTGACCCCAAGTGTGGGGCAGGAGCCAGGGGTTCAGCCAGCCACCAGGTGCTACGTGAGCAAAGGTGCCGACCACGGTGCAGGAGGTACGCCCAGCGCAGAGACGCTAGCTCAGGCTGGCTTCAAACCACGATCCTCCTGATCTGCCTCCTGAGTTGCTAGGATTACAGGTGTGAGCCACTGCGCCTGGCTTACAATAGCTTTGAAGCAGGGTCTTCCTATGCAGCCCAGGCTGGCCGGGAACTCTGCCTCCTGAGAGCTGGGAATCACAGGCATGGCCACTGTCTCATGTGCTTTCAGACTTCTCACAGAGGTCACGTGCGATCAGCTTGCTAGCTCTAAACTGCTTTCTAAACATGTGGGCAGCAAGGACGCCTGGCTAGCTCCCTCTGCTGCCAAATGCCCCCATGCCAAATGCATGGTCCCTTGCTGAGGCTCTGCATTGGGTAGCTGCAGGCATGGCAGGCACTTGACACGCAGCTTTAGGCACCTCAACCAGAGAGTCCAGGATGCCCTTGGCACTTCTCTCCTGTGTGGTGATGGCGCAGTGCCAAGTATACAGGCAGAAGCTGGATGGGCTCGGACCTCGAGTGAGAGGGACCTAAAGACATCAGTGTCTTCAGCAGGCCTGGGGCAGCAGGTATGCACCACGGTCTGGGTCAGGGCACAGTGTGCAAGCAGCAAGGGTCTACTCTGCTTCGTGTCTACTGGGACTACCACTTGCTCTGGGTGTCCGGAGGGGCTGGGGGATGAGCCGGAGTGGGAGGTGACCACCTGAGGAGCCTTTGTGCCACTGACTGGCATTCACCCTGTGCATGGTGGCTCATGCCTGTAATCCTAGGTACTTGGGAGGCTGAGATTTGATCAAGGGTCAAGGCCAACCAGGTCAAATAGGTCATAAGACCCCCATCTCCAAAATAACCAGAATACAATGGAGTGGAGCCATTGGTCAAGCAGCAGAGTGCCCGAGTTCAAATCCCAGTTCAGTTCCACCAAAAAAAAAAAAAAAGAGCAAGGGAGGCGGCTCATGTGAGCTCATGGGAGCTCACGCAGAGAGAGGAAGGAGAGAGAGAGAGAGAGAGAGAGAGAGAGAGAGAGAGAGAGAGAGAAAGGGAAGGCAGGCAGAGCACTGCACCTGAGCTCAGGGGTGTCTTCTTCCAGTTGGAGGTGCCCTTGCCAGTGCCGGCTGCTCTGTCGGAATGTCTGCCGGTCCTGCTGACCAGGGCCGTGGCGGAGGCTGCATTCTGCAGTTTGGGTGACTGACTGAAGGTGTGCAGGACTCCACGGGGCGCTGTGGCCGAGCCCCGGGACAGCTGGCTGGAGGCCTGCAGTGGAGACAGAGGACAATGGCTCATGGTGGGAACAGCAGCTGAGTGTGGGGTGCTCAGTGCAGCCTGTCCTTGTCTGGCTGACCTCTTCCCACCCACATGGAGTCCCTAGAGTCCAAAATCAGACCAGTTATACCAGGGATGGAGGAGGAGGGGAAAAGAGGGAGAGAAAGAGGGAGAGAAAGAGGGAGAGGGAGGGAGGGAGGGAGGAGGGAGAGAGAGAGAGAGAGAGAGAGAGACAGACAGACAGACAGACAGACAGACAGACGCAGGCAGCGTGAAAGTCGGCGACTGACGAGGTCGCGTCTGCGGGTGGGCGAGGCTCCCGGTGCTGGTTTCTGACCTGTAGCACAGCCCCGTTACTCCAGTCGCGGGCCTCTCCTGAGCGGAACGCCAACTTACGCCGGGGTTTTATGACCTACACAGGTGGGGGGGGGGGGTTGAGACTGGGGTCAGTGAGGTCCATGCTGCTGGCTGGCCTAAGGTGACTGAAGTGAGCCCCACGGGACAGGCCCATCCCTGACAGCTGTGCCACCGCCTGCTGGCTTTAAGATGTGTGGGGAACTTAAGAAAATGTGTTTAATGATTTACAAACAACTTCCGAGAAAATAGAAATTGCACAAGGGCAGCTTCGGGTCTGCAGACAGTGGGGAAGGAGGTCAGAACCCCGATTTCAGACTTGCTGTCTTGACTTAGCTAGAACACTTGTGCTCAACACCCCTCTGATGTCTCAACGCGGCTTTGAGAAAAGTCTTTCTAGACAAGAAGTACTTGTCAGCACAAAGCGAGGGGAAGCTACAAAATCTAAAGAAACTGCAAATTAGTGTTTTCGCCGCCAACCACCACCATTAAATGCAATTTAGCCACGCAGTGCCAATCAGGCAACGGGCAGTGGGCCAGATCGTGGGGCACCCCGCCTTCCAGGGACAGCCTGTAGCTGGGGTGGGGCCAGCACTCACCTGCTTCAGCGCGGGGTGTGGGGCAGTGGCAGGCTCAGCCTTGGCGGCGGCGGGGGCCGCACCAGCCCCCTGCTGCAGCAGGCGCTGCTCGATCTCCTGCTCCTGCTGCAGGGCCTTCACGAAGGCGGCCTTCAGGCGGCTGGTGTGCTCTACCTTGAGGGCCTTCTTCTGGTTGGACGTCATGCAGTTCTCGCACATGACGGCCCACCCTTCTCCTCCCGCCAGCGGCACGTGAAGTCCGTCTTGCACTGTGCGCACATGTAGGGCTCCCTCGACAGCACGGCGGCCGCGGCCGACATCCTGCCTGCTGCAAGGAGACGGGTGGGTGGTTCACGCCAAAGGGGCACTGGAGTCTGGGAGGGCGTGGGCAGTGCATTCCACACCAGTTGTGCCCAGACATGGTGCTGGCCAGCGCCAAGCTGCTCTAACTAGGGTGGGCTGAGTGTCCTCGGTACAGCAAGGCGGGCCTGGCTTCCCCATGCCGTCCTTCCCACAATACCACGAGAAACCTCACCACAAAAGGCGCCTGACCCTGGGTGTGACATCAAGGGTTAGTTACCCAGCAATGCCTTAGGGCCTGGGGTGTTCACCTCTTGTTTCCACCTCAGCGGAAAGCGAAGGCTGAGAGAGAACTGAGTGACTTTCGTATCACACAAATAGCTAGTGGCAGAACAAGGACTGAAACCTGGGGAGGAGTCCAAGCTGTACCCTGGAGCCGAAGCTCTGGGGTGTGAGGGGTGGGGTCAGAAGGCCCTTTGCTGTTTGTTCCACATCTTCTTGGTCATTCTGTACTCAGGTTGTCATTGCCTTGCCATCATCACCAACGACAGCAAGGCCAGGGAGACACTCGCCCTTCCCTCCCTGTGCCAGCCTGGGCTCTTGTAGCCTGCACACTGAGGGGTTATAGGAGCTGACCCTACGGAGGCCCCTTGTCTCACAGAGAAGACAGGCTGTCACCCGAACATGCTGCCTCAGGCCTAGGCCCACAGCCACCAAGCAGTTGTCCACAGCAGCATTCTTGCCGATCAATGTTAACTCTTTCAAAGGAACGAGATGCAAGCCAGGCACGCCAGGGCCCTGGCTTCCCCAACAGTGGACCCGTTTCTCTCCTCCCCAGCAGCCTCAGAGGTGAGACCAGATACCACGTACAGCCCAAAGGTCAGTCCTCAGTGTGACGTTATGGCCGGACACTGTCATGAAAGGACTTGGCTGGGGATTATAAGCAAATCCCAGCTGGCTGCCTGACACCCACTCAATGGGCAGGGCTGGAGGCCTGGAGGGCACGGACCGCCTGTCTTCATACCCTCCTGCCCCTCTGCACCTAGGCCACCCTGCTACCCCTCCCCTGCGGGAACTGCAAACCCGCTAGGTCCAGACTTGGTTCTGCCTCCCTGCTCCCGGCATCCCAAGGTGACCCTGGTTCTGAATCAAGACAAGGCTGGCTGCCCACTTGCCTCCCACCAATTCATTCTCACCCCCCTCTTCTCCAGTGCCACCTTTTTTTTTGCAGTACTGGGGCTTGAACTCAAGAGCCTGTACCTTGAGCCACTGCACCAGCCTTTTTGTGTGTGTTGGGTGTTTTTCGAGATAGGGTCTCACGAACTATTTGTCCAGGTTGGCTTCGAACCATGATCTTCCTGATCTCTGCCTTCCGAGTAGCTGGGATTACAGGCGTGAGCCACCAGCGCCTGCCTTCCGTGCTGCTTTGACAGTGACCCTGAGGGTGCCCTCTCCGCAAAGAGGGTGATGAAGTGAAACAGGCCCAAGCAGGCGTGTTCCTCCCCTATTTGGGGAGGACCTGAAAGGACTCAAGCCCTGGCCCATTCTGCCTGCGTGGGAGGGCCGCCTTGCTGAGCGGCCTTCCTGGAGGCAGTCTGCAGCCACCCATCTCTGGCCTGCCTCTGAGGTCCTGCACAAGATGCCTGCCTGCTACTCACCTTGCGTCTCCAGTAGGTTCTGCACCACCTCCTCCAGTCCCACCAGGTAGATGAACTCATTGTTGGCGGCACTGGGCAGGAAGTTCATCTCCGGGGCGGGGGGTTTGGGCGGCGGGATCTCCAGCAGCGTCTTCTCCAGCTGCTTGCGCAGGGCGAGCTTGGCAGCGGCCTGCCGGCTTGCTGGAGACTCACCAGAGGTGACCACAGAGGCCACACTGGTGGGGGTGGAGTTGGCCTGAGCAGAGGCGGCCGTCGTCCCCTTCAGTGATGCTGCCGTGGGCTTTGGAGGAGACAACCACCAGATCAGGGAGCTCCCCAGGCGCAACCACAGCCCAAGTGACCTGTCACCTGTACTTGACTGTCACGTCCTTTAAAGTAAACCTGAGCGGTCTGACACTTAGCAGGGTCGTGGAAGTGAACGGCCCACAGGGAAAGCACATGAATGGAAGTGGCTTGCAAGACCAGATGTCTCAACAACTCAGGGATACCCAATGCACGCCAGATGCTGCACTGCCTGTCACGAGGACACCCAAGGACACCACGAGCAATACAGGGACCTGGCAGGGTGTGCAGAGACTCACAGCATCTTTGCCGCCATATGCCTGGAGCACAAACTATCTGAGTCCATGTCGGGTACAGGGGAAAGTGGCTCATGGGTCCCCAGCCCTTGGTCCCTCTTCTGGTCTGCCGCTCCCATGCCACTCTACCATCCCTGCCTGGATCCCAGTGCGGACGCTCCATCAACCCAGAGCAGACCAGTGCCCTTAGCCTTGGGTGTTGAGGAGCCCTCTGGAAACCCAAGGGAAGCTGAGCACACCATCCCCAGGCAAGAGTCACCTGGTGACTTGCAAGTAGTATTCCATGGGGCTAAGGGCGGCCAGGGGTCTTGCAGGACCATCCCCAAAGGATCCCAGCCTGGCTGGCTTGGCCCCCATTCAGCACCAAGCCCCAGGCTTCCTCCGCCTGACTGCCACTGCCTCTTGGCATTCTGAAGACCGCAGGGGCTGGACATGGGTTTGAGGGGGTGGGATGCCTGCCCAGGTCTGTCTTTTGTTCCACCCTGTGGATGCAGGACTGGCCATGCCTCTGCACCTTAACTTGACCTTAACAAAGGCAGGGATGTTGCACAGAGGCCTGCCAGCCGTGCTCTTCAGAGAAAGGCGGGCAGCGGCCCAGTGTGCCTACCGATGAAGAGAGTGGAGTTGAGCAGGCTCGTCAGCAGAAGGCCTGCACACCCAGTAATTTCATCTGTCACAGGGGCTCTTGCTTCCAGCCTGCCTTCCCGCCCCTTGCTCCTTCTCTCTCTGTCCTGCTACCCAGGGGGTGGGGACAGACGCTCCCCATCTCAGAGGCCCTGTACAGAGGTTAAGGGACGTGAAGCTAAGAATAGAATAGCTGTGCTGGTGCTGTGGGGACATCTGCAGCCCGCTCTCCTCCTGTGCCCATGCCTGCTGAGGACGTAAGTCAGCAGGAGCTGGCTGTGGGAAGCTACAGTGGTGAGGGCAGCAAAGGCCCAAGGGCTTTGGGACCCCCGCTTCTCTCCGGGCCCCTGCTGTTCCCCTAAACCTGCTGTATCCTACACTCTGCTATGTGACCCAGGGACTGATCTCAGCTTGCCCCATACCCCCAAGCAGCTGCCCAGCCCTGCTGCATGGCAACCCTGCCCATGGGCCTTCAGAGCCCTGCTATCACAGGGGCTCAAGTTCAACACTCCCCCCGACTCCCCTGGGGATATTCTAGGCCCTACAAACCTTGGAAGGAGCAGGTAGGTCACACCGCATCACTCTGGGTGGACACAATGGTATGAGGCCAACTGGGCATGACGGGGAGGACTAGCTTAGAGCACAACCTCCCACTGTGGCACAGACCCTCACCTGCGGGATGTTGACGAGCAGACTGGTGTTGGGAACGTTGGCCACACGAATGAGTCCCTGCTGGATGATTCTCTGTCCCTGAATTTGCACGCTGGGCACAGAGGCCCGGGGGGCCAGGAGGAGGGGTGGTGGCCCAGTTGCGGAATGCTGCCTGATGCTGTGGATTTGCTGGGTAGGGACAAGAAACACAGCTGAGCCCACCACAGAGGGGCGCCAGGAAGGGAGGGGGAGGAGGGGGAGGGACGCACATCCATGCCCACCCGCACCCCTGGCACATGAGGCGCCCTGCTTACCTGGGCACCCCTGACAAGTGGGGGCATGACAACTTGTGAGCTGGTCTGAGGCCCCAGCTTAGAGGACACCTGCTGCCCACCGCGTACCAGGGGTGGCGGGATGACACTGCCGGGCATTCGGGTTGAAGAGGTCTGCCAATGACAGCAATACCCACATTTATGTGGCATTTTTCTTCCTTCAGAAAACAGACTTGCTTTCGTGAAAGTACGTATAGTTCTAAAGTTAGGACAGAAGAGTGGGATCCAAAGGGCTGCTGAGTGCGTTCCAGCACGAGGCAGCACTGTTCGAGGCGCTGGTCCAACCCAGCATAGCAGCTAAACCAGCATGGCGTCATCTCCAGGTGTGTGCTGGGGCTCAGGCGTGTGGCTGGACAGCCCTCTGCCTGGCACAATGGGTGCACTATGGTTAGAGGATGCCTGCCAAACTGGGGCAAGCCCAGGCCCTAAGGGCAGCAGGACCCCTGGACCCCTGCAGAAAGTGGACCTGCCCCGGCTCACAGCTCTTCTTCTGGTCTTGTTTACCATGGCTGAGTGAGCACGGAGGGTGCTCTGGATGGGCCCTACCACTGCTGACCATGCCTTCTGTGACAGCAACAGTGGCCTTGTTTGAGGAGCACATGCACACTTTTTTCTCTGGGCAGCTGGCTGAGAGCCTCGCTCAGAAGCCCAATGAGCCTTTTCTGCCTGTGGACTGAAGTAGTGCCGCCTGCTGGCCAATACTCAAGCGGGGACACTGACCTGAAGGGATGTCTTGCCGGCAGGAATGTTCTGGGTGCCCCGCACAAGCGGGGGAGGGGTGGTTACAGCACTCCCGGCGCCCGCCGGCTGCAAGAGAGGACAGGGCTAGCAGAGTGGCTCAAGTGGTAGAGCACCTGCCTTTCTGCATGAGGCCCTGAGTTTAAACCCCAGTACCACCAAAATAACTAAATAAAAATTAAATAAAAAAAGAAAGAGAGAAAGAGAGGATACTCAGGAGATGATGGATAACAGTCCTTCCCTTCCCAGAAGACTCATTTCCTTCCTCCTTCCTGTGTACCAGGCTCCCAAAGGCCCCTCTTCCAGCCTGAAAGGGACCTCTGTCTACAGCAGGAGCTGGCACACTCTACAGGGCCAAGGACAGGTACTCCAACAGCCCCCCACCTCCTAGTTGCTCCCTGATTTCATGGATACCAGGCACTGTCCTGTCCTGCAGAGGATGGAAGGGCTGACAATGGCGACTGAGGGAAAGGATGCTGGAGCTGGGTAGGTAATCCCAGGCTTGGTAAGAAATGCAGGGTCTGGAAGCAGGCACACTACCACAGAGCTCAAACCTGCCCACATTCCCTGGAAGGAATCTCTCCCATCCCTGTCCAGCCTTTCTGCCAGACATGCCGGGCATCCCACACCTTCTGCACAGTGGCTTCCTTCTGGATTTGACTCTGCCGCAGCTTCTTCAGCAAGACAAGCTTTGCTTCCTCTAGTCTCAGCTCTTCCTTCAACTGTTTGATCATCCTCTCCCGCTCTTCTGGACTACTTTTCTGCAGACAAGAGAACACGCGTTGTGGATAGGGTCCTTAGCAGAGAACCCCCCACCAGCATGGCTTGGGGGGTACAGTGAGCAGGACAGGCTAGCGGGGACTCCCAGGGTGAGGCTCACCAGAAGCGCCTCAGTGCTGGTCTCCTTCAAGGCCACCTTGGTCAGCCCGTTAACTCGTGGGCTGGAGGGTTGCTCGTTGTCAGATAGCACGATCACATCGGGCGAGGGGGGTCTCCTCTCAGGTTTCATGTCACTGTGGGACAGATACAAAGGGAGTTATCAGAGAGTATGGCACTTGGCTGCCAGACACATTGCCCACACCTAGTGGACACACAGCAAGAAGGCAGAGAGCACACACCTCCTGCCTGGCCTAACTGGTCCCAGTCTGCCCCTCGTGGCACCTGGGTGGGCTGCATCCACATACCTTATAAGGCACCCAAGCCCACCAGGTCACAGCTGGGCCCTTAACCTCTGCCTTCATGTGCCCCGGGCTGACGCATGTGCTCGAGTACAACACCGGCATTTTGGGATATGCTGTAGATTCCTACTTTACCCTGTGGCGTGGTATCCATGAACATACCCAAGCTTTATGTTCCTGGCCTGGCTCAGTCTTGGTCCAGTGTTGGAGCTCCTGTGTGCTGGATGTCACAGGAAGAGAGCACCTCGAAAAGGAGGGCATGCCACCTGTCCATGCTGGAAATCACCTGATGGGAACTCAGTCCTCCACACTCCATACTCTCTTCCATGCCCAGCCCAGGCGTGTGAAGGGCCACCTGCCTGCCAGCCCACACAGCACCGAGCGCTCACCACCCACAAGGCTGCTCCAGGCTGCCTGCTGGACAGTCATCCAGCAGTAGACACAGGTCTCTGCTTTGTTTTGTTCTTGGTGATTTAGGCAGGTACTTTACCACTTGAGCCACTCCACCAGCTTTGGTTATGGTTAATTCTAAAGATAGGGTTCGCTTTAGGCCAGCCCGGAGCACAACCTTCCACTTTGCAAGTGGCTGGGCTGGGATGACAGGCACACACAATCAGCTCAGCTTTTTTTTTTTTTTTCCAACTGAGATGGGATCTCTTGAATTATCTGTCCAGGGTGACCTCACACTGTGATCCTCCTGATCTTGGCCTCCTAAGTATTTAGGATGAGAGCCACCAGTGCCCAGCTGTCGCTGTGTGTTTCAAAACCAAAAAGAACATCTAAAACCTCGGTACTCTTTATCTACCTGACATACTAGGAACTGGTTTCCAACTCCATCCATACTCCACCAGCAGGTGAACTGCTCCGCACCCACCCCAGAAGCCCCAGGTCCACAGCATCAGGGACCCCTCACCACTTCCACCCTCCCTTTCTGATAAACGTGCTCTACTTGTTGCTGTGGTCTGTTGGGGGAGCTCACTTCCACCCGTGAACCTGACCTCACTGAAGGCTCCAGCAAGCCCCCGTGGCTTTCTGTTGCGTTCTGAGGACACACACATCTGAGTGTGTGGTGGATGAGCACATGCTAAGCCACTTGTCAGAATCTCCAACAGTGAGTCTCCCACCCACGATGCCTGTGAGCTGGATTCTAGGCACCAGGCAACCTGAGCCCAGGCATCACCACCCAGTCCTCCCCTTCTCATCTAGGACCCTGTAGGACCCATGCTCCTAACGCCACAGGATCACACATGTGCCACGGGAGATGCTTTGCCCCCACCCGCCTGAGCAGTTCTGTTGGCTCCATCCTCTGCAGAAGGACAGCGTCCTCCTTTGTGTGGGCAGGAAAAGCAACTAAAGACACAACATGTCCGCCAGGTGGCACTGTGACCCAGGGGACAAACTTTGATGAAGTTAACTGCAAGTCACAGCTGAAAGTTGTCCCAGTTGCACAGCATCTCTGCTATGCTGGGGGGGCTTGAGTCCCCGTGAAGGCTGGACACAGGTGCCAGTGCCAAGGCTTTGTTCCACCCCAAAGCTACCAGGCAGCTGTACCTGAGCCCCAGTGCTAGTCCACATCCCACCTAGCTTCTGTACCAGACACCAGGAGTGGAAAGAAAGGTGTTTTTTCCAAGTCTGCAGTCCCCAGGCATGGGGCTCTCAGACTGAATTTGACAGCCCAGAAATGGGCAGTTCATAAAGTGACCCAGTGAGCCCTCTTGGTTCTCACCAGACCTCTCTCCAGGTAAGTGGCTGCCAAGACCTACTTTCAAGGTGACTGGCAGCTCTCACTCCAGTCCTGTGGGTGTGTGTGGCCTGCAGTGCCTCAGAAGTGGCTGAACCCATAGCTCCTGCACAGCACTGCAGAGACTGATGGTCTCCACCCAGGCGGACTCCCAGGTGCACTGAGGAGCAGGATGCAGGCAGCAGTTCAGACAGAGTTACAAGCGACAGACATACTTCCTGGGTGAGTAAGGGTGCAGCAATAGCCAACCTGTGAGGACGTCTCAGTTTTCTTCACCTTATAGAAGGTGTGCGCGGCTCCAGAAGTGGGTATCTAATAAAACCTCAATCTGCCTGAGGGACGAAGTCAGGGATAGGGGACAGAGGCCATCCAGTGGCTGAAGTGTTCTGAGAGGGCCACCCTGATCTCCTGCTCCCAGGTCCCATCTTGACTGGAGACTAATCAATAACTCATCCAAGAGGTGATGTCACCGCCCATCAATGATCACTCAGCATCCCAGCCGTCAGCAGGGAGTGAACTTCCTGTATGCTAATCAGGCCACCAAAAAGTCATGTGACAAAGGCATTTCCCTCCTTAGTCATGTGACTCTTTAACTGTGCCTTCCAACGTGAAAACCATGGCAACGGGCAGTTCTAACCGGTCTGACATGCAGCCTTCATTTTGAGAAGGGAGGTAAGGGTTCAGGTGCTGACAGAAAATGGAGGCGCCCAGGCTCCCTTGGGGGGGTGGCAGACACTTCCTGTGTGGCACTAGCCCACAGGGGACTCCGTGTGTCTCAGGCAGCTGGTCACCTCTTCCAGACATGGAGGGGCCTCCAGCCCCTACAGTTTCCCAACTTAAAAACTTTCCTAAGCTTAGTTTTTAAAGGAAAAGGAGCCTCAAGATTCCCAAGACTTTCTGGAGAGTTCTTAATTCAGGAAAAAGAACATGTGGTTCAAGACAACTGCACACAGTATCTGGGGGCAGGGAGTGTTTTACAGAAACCACGGAAAACCAGAGAAAAAAGCAGAGGAGATCTGCACAGCACTGGGACAGCATCTGCCCAGGTACCTTCACTCCACGGTGGCTGTCTTGTCTGGGGCGGCAACTTTGTTTGGAAGCTGCATGGTGTTTGGGGGCAAATCCCACAAGCCCATTCTGCCTGCCCACTGAGAACCCTGTATAGGATTAAGTGATCAAAACCTGTATCTTATGTGACCTATGAAGATCCCTGGAAGCAGGCCAGGTCACTGCTATCAGGTAAGTGACCTCCCTGTCAGGAACTTCTGCAGGGTTTCCTGTGGGAGATGGACCTCATACACCGTAATCACCACCCATCCCACCTGCTTTGGCTGCTCACCAGAGAGGCCAGTGGCAGTTAAAATTTAGCATTCCCTCGGCCTGTGCCAGGGAATAAATGTATAAGGGGACACAGAGCTGTCCTCGAGGCTTGGATCTCTGATGGATCTGCCCGGTGCTCAAGGGACACCCTCATCATTCCTCCCTCCCTCATCCACCTACAGCAGTTGCTGGAAACCCACATAACCAAAGAGCGGGAGCTGTCCCAGGAGGACAGGAGAAACCCCCAGCTAAAAGGTGGCTCTGTTCTGAGGGTTCATGGTCCCCTGGGACACACAGGCAGAACAGATAAGGGTTAGGGCAAGATGGGAACGCTGCTGAGAGCAATCACAGGCAGCTGTGCTGGGGAGCCACCCAAGAAGCTCAGCACCTGAAGGAGAAGCAGGATGGGCAGTGAGGCCCCTCAACACAGAGACTGGCCAGCAAAGCACCGCAAGTGACCAGGAGCCAGCAGGGCACGAGTGGCCAGCTTCCCCAGAGCTGGTACACATGCAGCTCCTGTCTGGCCCCAATCCATGGAGTTTGCATTTTGACATGAACACCCCAGGGACCATGAGCAGAGGCTGAAGTGGCTGAACAGGTCTCGCTTGGGACTCAGGACAAGAGCTCTTGCTCGGAATCAGCTCAGTCAGACAATGAGGTCAGCTGCCTTCTCCAGCCCTGCCCAACACTGCTAGAACCTCTCCTCCCTCTCTGCTGGCCTTGTATCTAATGGGGCAGGGGAGCTTTGCAGCAGCCTCATGCGCCCCTTCAGCAAACGCTCACCTTGGACCCCCAGCCCCTTCCCATACTGCAGAGCAATTCACACATATACACACCCCTGGGCCAACCTGACTCTCATCCCCAGTGACCCTGTATCACAGACATGGATACACTGTTCCCCATGAGCCACAATTCACCCTTCAAAACGAAGCTGACACCACGTCTTCCTTCATCAAGGTCCCTGGCTGACCCTGCCTGGAGGTTCCCAGAAAGCACACCACAAAACCCCCATCACAGGCTGCTGCAGGAAGTCCTCAGCATTGCCTCCTTGAAGGCTCTGTTCAGAGCAGCCCACAGCAGCCCAGGCCTGAGCAGAGCCTGGTGTTCCTCAGTCACACCAAGCCACCAAACTACTGAAGGAAGTGCCTTTGTCCCTGCCCTGAGTCTACATACAGGCTAGATCAATCCTCCCTGTGTCTCATCTCCCAGGATGGCGTGTCACTGCAGAAGAGGGCTCCCCCAACCCTGGGCTGGGACCTTTGTGTCCCCCTCAATGGTGTGGCGCAGACTCAGCTCCCAATGACAACCAGGATGTTCCCAGGGTGACCAGATGAGCAGTGGGCAAGGGAAAAGGTGGAGTCCAGCCCTGGCACAACTCTACAGCACCAGAAAAGGGGTGAGACTCCCGCCATCTCCTCCTAAGGCCAGGCTGGCTGGGAGGGAGAGGACACAGGACCCTTACCCCAGAGCCAGTGCCTGCCCACAGCTGTACAGGCAGCTGGCCTACTCCTAGGGAGAAGAGATGATGCCACAAAGCCTCACCCCCTTCCCCTTAGACTTCAAACAGTTCCAGGGAACTTGGGCTGTGGAGAGTGACCCCCACCCAAATCAGAAGACCCAAGGGTCACATTTGCTCCTGCCTCTTGTAAAGGATAATTGCCTCTTCTGTGCCTCCTAGAAGAGGGGCCGGGAATCATTGCCCTGCTGGCCTCAGGCTGCCTGATAGGGTTACCACCAGGGAGGTGTAGAGCACCTGTAGGCTGCCCTGTAACAA